CAGCCCGGAATAAAATTTGTGAATCCCGCGATAAGCATTCGTTTGTTTTAAAGTCATGGTATTTCATTTCGGTACCTGTTGTCAAAGTCTTCAAATTTCCGTAGGTGATCCGCCAACTGTTCAGCAGTTCCTGAGGTATGTCTCCTACTTATCGAATCAAACGTAATATAGACTGACTGTTTGGCATTTGCAACCAGTCTCGCATTGGTTGATCAGGAGATGGCGTCTTAAACTCTTGTCTAAATTTTCTCTCATCAGCAAGGTCTCATAAGGCAGAAAAGGTTACAATGTAATCTGCACTATCAAGCTAAGTATCCTCTGATAATTTATAATGAACTTTTATGGATCATACTCATGTGTTAAAGTGTCAGCTGGCCAAGTATATCCAGAGTCCTTGCATACTGTCCTAAGTTTTTTTGTCGTATGTATTCCGTGTTTGGCAGTTCATTGCAAAATACTTCAAAATTAACAAATGGGAAACACTGTTCGAATTTTTTTGTAATAAACGTAATCACGCTCGTAAACAAAGCTCCATTAATTCTTACTTATTTTCATTCGTCATTCTTTTCTACCTATCTACCTTGCTGAATGAATAATTGTTCTTTCGATCATCCTTCAAAATAAAATCTACAAACAACCATTTTGTTTCGATAAACGAGAAATTTTTTATCGGTTTTTAATCAGTGACTTCACCTCCTTAGAAAACTAAAAATGACTTTTACTGAAATTCGCTTTATTCTTTCTGAAATTCGTAATGCTTCTTAAAAATGGCTGAAAACTGTGGATATATAGATGCTCATAGATATCACCGTTAAGATAAACACATGACCAAACACAAACGATATAGTGATTAATCACCATGATAAACCACTATAATGCTTATATTAAATAAACGGTTTTGCCATGTTTTGGGTATGAATACCAACGAATTTCCAGGACACTGAGCAATTATTTTACTTTTAGTAGACTTGTTCAATTATATCGCTGCTTTTAACTTCCTTCGTTGACCGTAGACGAAGTGGAGTGTTTCGATATAAATGCGATGATTTAGCCAGAGAAGGACCCTATGCGATACATCAGCTGGGCAGACGCTATTTTCGTTTTGTACAGCATTACAGACAAGGAGTCGTTTGAATACGCGGAGCGGTTGATGAAGCAGATTACGCAGCATGATCATACGAATTGTTTGTCCTCGCATACCGTATTTCTCGTTGGCAATAAGACCGACCTAGATAGATACAGGTAAACATGCTTGCACATATCGTAAGACGCAAATATAGCTAAAATACGAATTTATGGTGTTCAACATCAACTATAATGCGTGATCGACTTGCCAGTTTGACACAGTGTTCTGATACCGTTCAATGCTATGCATCCAATAGCATTGCTTAAGTTTTCCAACCCCTGACATCGCAGCACCAGGCCACCATTCTGTCTCAGTTGTTCACAAGTCATCGATTTAGTAACCGTTTCTTATCTGGTCCATAAAAGAGCACTTAAGTGCGTCTTTTACTGAAAACAGAGAATTTCGTGCGTGAGTTGATAATCATACCGAAAAGCAGCATGAAAAACGGTTCGTTTTTACACAACGCAAAAATAATATAGTCCAGTCGATGATTCACCAATACCGACGTTTCAGGTCGTGTCTCACGACCCTCCATCAAGGTAGGAATTTGGTAAGGTTTCAGAGGTTATTCTTGTTGTCCCCATCGATTGGTAGGTTTGGAGCTAGAAGGCTTCTGACAAGCAGGAGAAACACGGTAGATGATGACGATTTGCGAAATAGCAGCGAGGAACGCTAAACAGATTGTCGTACCGGAAACCGAAAACGAGATGTGCCTCACCGGCGCTAATAAGCTCAAAAATTCAAGCGCTAACTCGCAAGTCGCCGATTACACCTCGTGCACGTACGTAAGTTGAACTCATGGCTCCAAACCTACCAACCGCTGCAGACAACAAGAAAAACATCCAAAATGTTTTCCACCCTTCTACCTTGAAGAAGGCTCGCAAGACGCCGACCGAAACGTCAGCGTTGGTCAGATATGAGATTGACCGTATTGTTTTTCGTTATGCGATAATAATTAATGTCATATGCTGTTTCTTTAATGAAGATGGACATCAAGACGTTAGTTAACAAGATAATTAACGGCGTGCCTGAATTCTGACCAAAATGGTTTTACTATTTACTGTCACTATTGTCGCCATCTAAAGTTAAACAACTTTCGAGCGCCAAGATTCTCCAGGTTAATGGCATGACTATGTAACTGGCATCGCAGATTCATGCAGTATGTCATTGCTGCTGCAACAATGATAACGTTTTTCATACTAAGCAATTTTTCTTCTGTTACTTATTTCTGTTGTTCATATTGCAAGTCTAACGGCCCAACACACGTTTGCGTAATGAACGTTTCGGATTCAACATAAGAAAGCTGTGAACAGCTTTCGATTTTTCGTTATCAGTCTTTTATACTATGTGATGTAACTGACTCTGTTCACATTATAAATCATGATACCTGACTGAAACGGCGAAAATGCATAGTGTAAAGTAAGAACAGTCCACTTCTCACTTTACACCGGCAACTCTTTTGAACCGCTCCCTTGTTTCTAGATGCTTCTGGGGATCATTTCAGCAGGCCACGTCTCCATGGCATTTAAGAGCCTACAGTGCATGGGATGCAGCACAGCCTCTTAAACATGGGTTGAATATAAGTATGTTCAAACAAAGAACATTGCAAGGAGGCGATGCAATAGAGCCGCTGGTGTAAAGTGAAAAATGTACGTTTCTTTCTTTACACTGTGCATTTTCTCCGTTTCAATCCGGTATCATTACTTTTACTCTGACATATTCAGCGGCGGTATCGAAAGCTCGCCCAGCATATCAGGGTTCTATTTTGTGACCTTAGCTCTTCAGAGAGTTTCCTCGGTCAATGATCTTCAACATGTGTTTCTTCTCTGACCCGGCTACGTCAACACTGTTTCAGACAATTAAGCTGGCAGCGTTATTATTGTAAGTCATCTCGACAGACTTCGTGACAGTTTGGACAGGGAATGCAGTTAGAGCGTACAATGATACAGGGAAAACGGCTGTTTTCAAGCTGCTAATTTTCGCAGATGCTTCTCGCCTATGAACTTTCCCGAAATTCGCTGACTCCAGTATGGTGATTTGGAAGTCAGTTTGAGATTTAGATCAATGAAGACAGTGGACGATAAGAACTGAATATAATTATTGAACCAGTGCGAACATAACCTTTTTAAGGGTATAACGAGACACGTAAGAGAAGCTCCATTAATACGGTTTGCTGATTATGAAACATTTGTGGGGATGCACATAGTTTTGTATACGCGATTTTTTTCTCTTTTACGGTATGCGCACGTGATGTTTCAGACTATTTTCTGTTCGTTGTTATAGGTTGGTCACTTTGACGCAGGGAATGACACTCGCCACGATCTACAAGGCTAAGTTCTTCGAAATAAATGTCACCGAAGAGTACAGTGTCGTCAAGCCGCTGTTTAAGGAGGCGGTCAGTGAAGTGCTTGTGGTGAGGAAAAAGGCTCAGAGCTACGGCGATGGACGTTCTTGGTTAGGTGGAGAGCAAGGTGCCGAGGATGTCGTCAGCCGAGATTGTCAGCTGCCGACGAAATCTGCAATGCGTGTCTCGAAGACCAATTCGATTAAGGGCAGCGAGTCAATCAAATTCAAACCGTCGCCTGCTTTCGTTCAGAAAAAGTCTTCCGGCTTGAAACTGTTGAAACTCTTTCAGGAAAAGTACCGTGACGTTTCATAAGTCAGTTGATCAAGTGCTGTTTGCCGTAGCGTTGAAGCAAGTGCTACAAAAGTGCGAGGGTACGTTTCTGAGCACTTTTTAGGTATGATCTAACCGCTAAATTCCGTTCTTTGCGCCTTATGCATGAAGTTACACTTCATGTCTCTATACAGTGCTTGCAGTAAACTAAATTATCATCAGATATGGAGCATCTTCGATTCCTTTCCGTTTATAAACATTTAATCGGTGTGTTTTACATCGCATTAGTAGCTCATTTAACATCTTTGTATGCTGCATATACATTATTCATTTTTGTCCTACAAAACTATAACTTACGCTAGAATATTGAGCTCCGTATACATTCGTGCCGCATATAAGCGAACAAATAGGTTTGGCATCTCAAATAGTTGTCCAACAATCTGCAGTTACATTAAGGACATAAAATGGAACGAAGCAACCGCAAAAAAAACACCAGCAAAGAATGACTTGATATTTCAAACCATTTCTGAGTAATTTCTCAACAGTTCCTCGCCAAAGAGTCGTTACCTTCACGACTATTAGCTCTTAAACGTGGAAACCAATTTAACCTGCATTTCATAGCTACAAGTAATCACCAAATCCTTTATTTACACGCTTTACGGTGCATATTCTACATGCTTCAGATTATTTACGCATATGTACTTACCTCGAAGATAAGCTAAACTATGAGCTTTTAGTGAAGATCGCATCAACATAACAAAGACTGAGAGAATGTGTGTAAAGGCATGTTCGGGAACGCTTCATCTACTTTAATTCAAGAAACAGCAGTTCGAGGTCTCCATCCACGCATACTTTCGTCAACTCTTTTGGGTCGGTACGATGCGCGTACGCGCAGAAGTGGTCGCCGTTGATGCGCACTTGAAACGCGTATGGCTTGTTGTCGACTTCTACGTCAAACAGTGTATCCTTCGCCAAACAAAACTTCCCCTCTCTTTCCTCGTTTTGCCACGCCTGGTCGAACTGACTGTTCCTGACGATGCAGTTCTCATCGAAACGAAAACTGATTTGCAGCGCGACGTTTTCCCTTTCAGTCAATAGGTTGACGTTGATGCGCTTTGCTTTCTGCAGCGGCAGTCCGGAAAGACGCAAAGACTTACCGGTGCC